TGGATCAGATGCGCACCGGAGGGCTGTCCCCCAACGTTAATGTTAGTTATGACATTGTGGGAGCCATGTGTCACCGATACCACGCTGAGCAATAAAGCAAAGGCATTATTTGCTGCAATATGATGTCAAGACAGAAGACATTGCAGCGCACAGTTAAACACAGACTGTTCCAGGCCATCGTTTCCATTCAACCACTGGTAATGTTAATCGCAATGTCGAATGGCATATGGCATATGGCCCCACTGAGGAAAAAAAAAAAACCCTGCTTTTCTTTAATTTCAGGTGGGACAACGTGTGATGGAGTCTTACTGCTTTCGATGCAAGTCTGTATTCCTTGTTTTCTTAACACCCTGGGTTGTCTCATGCCAAACATGAGGTCATCCTTTGATTCTTTGCTAAAATGAGGTCTCGTGTGATGATGCGCTGATGTTTCTCGTGACTTATTCATGACAGAGGTTACCAACAGTTTATGTTGAGAGTAATTCGAAAAGGCCCGCTTTACTGACATCTTCAGGTTGAAGATTGGAACAGACTGTTCAAATTCAGGAAGTTTTGTTCGACTTTTTTTGGGGGGGTGGGGGGTTTTATTTTGGGCGGGTAAGTCAAATTGGAGGACCTCAGGAGTGTTTAGTATTAGAGGGTCCATTATCATTTTGCGTCAGCGTCCTGGTCCCCGAGAAACCCAGAGTGGTCTGTGGATGAATTTTTGTTCCAAATTTCAAAATATTGTACCGATATGGAAGATCATATTTTGCAAAAGTTTCCTCTGAGTATCCGCGGTAGTCATTTACTTTTTGGTGTCTGTCGTTTGTCATTTAACTTTGAATTTTCTTTGGTATTTTAATAGTCAGCTAGCCTATTATTTTATTTATTATCTTAGGTGGTTCCGCAGGTTTATTTTTTTTGGAAAAGTCGTGTCATGGAAAAGTTTTTGCCACCTTTTCTGTTTTTCAGATTATTAAACAAATTGTAATATCTCACAAAGACAACCAAAGGTAACATAAAATAACAAATGCAGTTTCTAAATGTGAAAAAGTAGTAAGTAAGCTTTCTAACCATTACTCAGTCAACACGAGAACAATTTTCAGAATATGTGGACCATTAAAATCAATAGTTGCGAATTGCAATCTGTTGAACCAAAATTTTAGCTTTACTGGAATCTCATTGATGTTTTCTCATTTTTTTTACAACATGGAATGAATTCGTTTGAAAGGTGCCGCTATTTTTGTGTGCACACTAGAAAGTCAACGTTTTCGAACAACTGTTGGGATGTCCTCGTTTATGTTGAGCACTGTATGTCAAATATTTAGAGTTACCGTATCCTAATTTGTGGAGTCTGGTGTGGTCTCCCACATACATCTGCCAGGGGTCTTAACACATATGGCAGTCCAGGACTTCCTGTTTACTGTTTACTTCCAGACAGCTGTGTTTCAAACGTCACAGCTCGAGATCCACCCTCGGCTCGTTCGTCAGCGAAGTACGCAAACTGCCAGAGCTGGTCCTCGACACCCCCACCCCGACCCCACCCCCCACAAAAGTCCCTCCAACCATTTTGTTTCGAGAACACCTTCAATGATTCACACTTTACACGTGCGCTGATTAGAGAAAAGTTTTAGACTAGTGGTCCTCAAACCTCCTCCACAAGTGCCACTGTGACATTATTCATTCATTCATGATATCATTTCTTGATTCTTCATGTGGCAGTCGAGAAATGAGGTACGCGTAGCACACTTTGAAAATCACTGTTCTACAGCGACTTGATGTGAATGGCAGGTGCACAGTCCAAGGCGAAAGTATGTGAGAAAATGTTTCAAGTTGGCTGAGGAACCATTCTTCATTTCTTCCAACAAACAAACAAAAATCCATTTGTAGCCCAAGATAAACAAAATGTGCCTATCTGGACTCAATTAGTAATGTCGGGAAGAGTAATTTGTTTTTGAAGGGATTCTCAGTAGCTCTCAGCAGTATGTTTTTGTTTTTTTTTTTAATCTAGTTCAAATGAAAACGCATAGGGAAGTGGTCCATAGTAAACATGTTGTAGGCTTAATTATGTGTCCTTAGGTTGTTGAATCCTACCACCGCAACCCTTGAACAAAATGTCCTCATGTTTTTGTTTTTTCCTCCGTTGCTTTTAAAAAACAAACAAAAAAAAAATCATTCTTGTTTTGAATGACTTTGCCAGGTACACCGGTGTGTGTCGATTCCACAATTCACACAATTTACCTTCACTTTCAGTGAGCTCTCGCTGAACTCAGAGTGCACCCAAATGAATGAGAATGTGTCAACGTTGATGAAGTTATTCGAAGCCTTGTTTCAGCTTGTCTTCATCTGCAAGCGAGGGCTGACAAAGTATTTCTTGGCCCAGCTCGAGCTGCAAGGACCGGTGGGTGCGCTGCTTTGACGTGTTTTCCTCAGATCAGATGTTAAGCCATTGGATTGCACCGAGACCTCGCTTTGACCCCTCGTTGTTGACTCATTTACACTTTTCAGATTTTTCATGTGTTTTTAGTGTTTCAGTTGTATCCCGCAGCACAATTGTAAAAAAACTTGTCATGGAATTCCTGGTCTCATGGCTGCGCGACTTCCTCTCTCATCGAGTTAGGTCCAATATAGCTGCACTGGTATCTAATGTAACAATAGTTCCACATAACACACCGATCTTCACTAAGAAAGAAAGTTAACTTATTTTTCCACGTGTGACAATCATAGACAGCCATGTGCTGTCACTTCCCATTTCTGCATTTCATTTTGTTTCACACATAAGACACACGCGATTTAACATGTTAATGAGTTATGACACGCCTCTTTGGCCATCACTGGCTGCAGATGATCACATGACATTGCTTGTCCAATCAGTGCTGTGGGAAATTTAGTTTGCTTAGTCGTCAACGTGTGACTGCCGTGATAGTACGTCGTACAATAAAAAAAAAAAGTATACTTATCTCTTGAAATTTTATTTACTTTTTTCTGTTTTTAATAAATGTGTTTTTTAAAAATAGTTTTAATGTGTACACTGAATCATCCAAAAATATGCATTCATGAATCTAAATACAGTAAAGAATTTTGACAAGATACAAAACGGATGAGCACATTGAATCACTGGAGAGCAAAGTAAATAAATTCTGGAGTCCTATTTGTGCTCGTAGAAAAAAAAAATATATATATATATATTTATTTATTTATTTTCCACTCATGAAGGGTTCGATGAATGTGCATATTAACTGGATGGGTTCAGTACCTATAAAAAGGTTAAGAACCACTGTTTTAACCATGACCTGTTTTCATAGAAACCCAGTTTAAATGAGACACAGCTTCCTACATGCTGTTTCAAACTTCCCTGTCAGCGCAAAAGTATTCAGAGCAAAAGAAACAGTGTAAGAAAGACCCAAGGGCTTAGGCTCAAGCCTTCCTTGATGCCATTTAATATTGTTTCGAGTCTGTGTCTCATGATCTTGTGTTTAGAAGTCCTGCCGTCACACCAATAGGTGGCAGAAGTTGCAAGCCAGAGCCAATGAGACGTGACGGACATGGCAAAGATGAGAGGGTCACTCTCAAGTGGCACTTGGATGAACAGCTTTCCTCTTCATCTGGAGGTCTCAGCGGGGAGGGGGAGGAAGGGACGAAGGCTGCGTGAGCACATGGGGGAAGAGGGAGAAAAGGGAAAGGAAGATGTCTCCTCTGTCTTTTTGTGCGGAAGTGACAATTTCAAGTTGTTATTTTTCCATCGTGTCGGTTTATTTCGGCTCTTTAGCTATGAATTACAGGTGCTAATGAAGCTAGCATCTTTATGTTTGCTCCACTCTATTTTTCAGGACTCATTCTATTTTGTGTTGTGATTGAACTAATGGCTCTAGCGGTTTAATTCAGAGAAATCTTCTCACTTGATAAAATGCAAATGTAAAACACGCTTCAAGGATTTATGTCTTTTTCAAAATCAGTCCCTCATGTGGTCCATATGAAGTCAACGTTTTGTGTCTTTGTTGATGGAAAAACAACAGTTGAAGGGTCGCGAATGTGGGAGGTCCCCCCCTGAGTATCTTGGCTCCCGTTCATCTGTTGGAAATGAATGACACCACACCGTATAGAATTTATTTTCAGAGGAGAGAGAGGAATGAATCGTTAAAATGCGAGTAAAAATACAGAGATCGAACTCTGGATAGAGGCAACAAACTCAACTCACGTCATAACAATCAGCAGTTCGGCAAATAAGGCACAAAATGAGGCTTCGAGCAGTTTAGTGTCACTCCCAGGTGAAGTCGCCTGTTAGACTAAACATGGAAAAAAGAGAAATTACAAGTTGTGTATTGAGAGCAACCACATAACCGTAAAGTCTGCTAGCTTAATGCCAACACATGATGGGAAACACAGATGGGTCAATAGTTGTGAAACTCTTCTTTGTTTGTGTCTACAGTCCTATATTGTACTTCCCCATGGTCTTAATGAAATTATCAGGTCCTTAACTGTTTATTTGCATTCTGTTTAAATATTTTTTTCATTCTGGTTATACAAAGTACAATATTATAGAGTGCTATTTTCCATATTTTTTGTTGCCCTTTTTCAATTCATTTGAATAGGTAAAGATGATTTCAGATTTGTTTTGAGTTACGAACATGGCCATGGAATGAACTAAACTCGTATCTCAAGAAACATTTGTGTCACATTTAACCACAGTGACACATTCAGGTCAAGAAAAATATTCAACAGTTTATTTTTAAAAATATAGTACTTTTCTGTTGGTACATTATTTTGGTGTAAATTATTTTCTTTCATATATTCTTTGACCTTTAATAGCACCACAGAACATATTTTATTGCCCTCCACCTTCAGAGGTCACCAATCGGATGGGTTAGACAAAGAACGACATTTTAAAGACATCTCTTATTTCATTCCTACTTCCACATGACGCCGGTTTTATTTTCTTGCATGCCAACAGTGACATCAGTAATGACAATGACTCCCTCCAAAAGTCGACCATCTAACGGCGTCGCGTCCTTCCGCAGGAGCTGACAACATCAAGAAATATTGGTGCCGCTACTACCAGGGGTCGCAGGGTGTCGTCTTCGTATTGGACAGCGCTTCATCAGACGAGGACCTTGAGGCGGCACGTAATGAGCTGCACTCGGCCCTGCAGCACCCTCAGCTCTGCACGCTGCCTTTCCTCATCCTCGCCAATCACCAGGACAAGCCCGCTGCAAGGACGCCAAACCAGGTAACGATGCCCCTGTCGGGACACCTCAGCATGGCTCTTCTACTGACTTTGCCCACGTATGTGGAACACATTTCACCCAATATTAGTGAATCATAGTTTCCGTTGGATTCTGCTGTATTCATCTAGTAGTTCCTAATCAAGCGTCAGATTTATACGCTGGTATTTTAACTGACTTGACACAAGCACGACCATTCAATGAATTGCACAGGATGCAGGCTATTGATGTGTACCCTTGGGATATCACCACCACTATGTTGGATGCGTGTCGTACGAGTTCAGCCACCATTGTTTGATGGCCAGTAATAGATTTATGCAGGAAAATGTTGATCACTGCCCTACTCTGATCACAACACTGATTGGCCACTAAGGTGGTGATGCTGCACTGATATCTGGGGCTTCACCTTGAGTCAACTACAACATGTTGGATAATAACATGCATGTTCCATCAGCTGGGCGAACCTAATTCCTTTTTCAGTAACGTGTGCCAGCCATTGTACCTTACTCTCACACTTCACCGTCCATGTGTTCAATATGAAGAAGTAGGGTTGTTATATTTCATGTTTCTCAGGTCATATTACTTGAAACTTTGTAATACAACCAAGCACATTGGTAATACTCTTGGGAGGTTGTTGAAATATTTACATATTATATAAGGACTGGTGCATTTGTTTTAAAGCACATATTAACAATTGATGCTGTTTTATGTTTCTTCTATTTGTTTTACTTCAGAAGCTTGATAATTAATGGCAACATACGATGAAATACAATAAATGGAAAGAATGACAATCATTTTTAATCCTTTGAGTTCTCCCTAAATGAGTTCCCTAAAACTAAGTCAACGCACCACTGTATACAGTAGTTGAGTCTTGGGGGTTGAGGAGAGAGCACCATTTTTTTTGGGGGGGGGGTTTTTGCTCACTCTTGAGAGCAAATTGTCCATGAAACAAAAATTTTCCGAATTCATTTTTTAATCTCCCTGCATGTTTTTAACCTCCCTTAAAGCACATAAACTTGCTCTTTGGCCATTTATTGTTTGCGATCTAACTTTTATACCGGAATGGCATAGTTGTAATGTCGCTACATTTACTTTTGTGTGCATCCTTGAATTTTATTGAACACTTTGGTCTTCTAACTCCTACTGTGGAGTCACGGAGTAAGTAGTAAGTCATCATACTCATGGCCAACTCAGAACCCCATATCAAACATTTGTCTTTGTCTTGCTCGATAATTTGTTGTTCTGAATAAAGATAGAAAGGCATAAATGTCATGGAATAGTCATGTAGTTATGGGTCATGTTATCACCTCCCTGCAAAACACAATTAATCACTCTTTGTGGAGGCAGGGATAAAAAATAAAAAAAAAGAAAAACAAGGATAACGTGTTCCACCTTTCTTTTCTTTCTCTCTATACTCTAGTGTCTTCCTTGCTTGCTTCACCACTCCAGTATAAGATGTTATGTGGCTAGTGTTCCCAGTACGACGCTCGCTCATGTTTCGAAAAAAGCTGGAGCCTCACTTTCCTACAAATGCATTCACTCACACATACATCATCTGCCAAGGACTATTTTAATGTCTCTGAAGGATTCACTTAGACGGATGCCTGCAGCGAGGGCCATCTGTATTTCCTTGCTCGGACCACCGGTGTTACGGCTCTGAAGGGATGGGAAATCCGCTCTGGGAAATGATAGTGAGAAAAGTCCTCTACCAGATTCTGTTAATATGACCCAAAGTGCAACCTTTTGACTGCCCCTCAACCAGTTGAGCTTGATTTAAAGTTATTAGTATGGATTGATTGCATTTGTGCACAAATCACAAAGGTCACAGAAACCCACTTATCTCATTGATGGTTTCAATTGCAAGCGCTCACAGCGGACGCGGCAACACTGCTCTCTTTGTTGGTGCCCATAACGTAGCAAGTTCATCCAGCCTGTTAACTGCGCGCACTGGCTCACTGGTCTTAGCGTGATGTGTCCTTTGCCATATTTGACCCTCTGTTGTATCAATTTCTGGAAGTATTGACTTTTTGCAACTGTTTGCAAACACCAATGACACGTGTGACTGGCTGATGTGGATGTATGAATGGGGATGGATGTCGCCCAAAGGCCTCATTTGCACTTTGTTGGGAAGGCCATGTCAGTTCAACTGAATGACTTACATAAAGTAGGTCTGCTTCTATTACTGATGTGATGTGTGCCTTGTTCAACTATGTAAAATCCGTCATTAGGACATTAATGCTCTGATGATCATGATGCTATTTTGCATTTATCTATGCTATTTATGACCTGGAAGCCCATTCTCAAGTTTCCCCTGCTCATTGCACTCAACCTACTTTCAATATCACCAAATTTGACTCAAATGTACACATATGAGATGTGTCGGAAAACGGGTGTCACAAAATTACATCCATCAATTTTGTAATCTGCTTTTCCTCACGAGGAGCGCCGGTGTGCTAGAGCCTATCCCAGCTGTGTTGGGGCAGTAGGCGGGGTACACCCTGAACTGGTTCCCACCCAATCGCAGAGCACACAGAGACAAACAACCATCCGCATTCACACACCTAGGGAAAATTTAGAGTGTTCTATTAACCTGCCGTGCATGTTTTTGGAATGTGGGAGGAAACCAGTGTACCCAGAGAAAACCCACGCAGGCACAGGGAGAACATGCAAACTCCACACAGGAAGGGCGGAGTCGGAAGCGAACCCTGCACCTCTGCGCTGCGAGGCCGACGCGCGAACCAGTTGACCGGCGTGCCAACCACTGTGCCGCCCTCACAAAATTCCAACAAGTTATCCCCTTTACAGCACTGTATTCATGGGTATCTTGATGTCATCCACGTGTTCAAAACAGATCCCGTTGATGGCCTTCTTGAGCTTGGGAAAGAGGGAAAAAAACTCACATGGAGCCTGGTCAGATGTGTTGCTCTACATAGATGGTCTCGCCAACATTTTGAGGGCCGCAGCGCACTAAACTCCACTCAACAATCTCCAGTGTACGGAGTTCTGTTACAAAACTTCACTAGAGGCTGAAATGCAGCAATTGCTTTTGCGGCGATTCAAAATTTGAATCACAGTTCCACAATCGCAACTTATAGCCTATCAAATGCGAGAAAGCTTTTACACAGGCGAAAATCTATTTCCGTGTTATCAGTGAGTGACACGCAGCTGCCTACCACGTGCCACCAAGTGATACAAATACATTATACGGTACACCTATTGTGTTTTACAACAACACTGTCCCATATTTATAATTTCATATGTACCTGTGATTTAAATAGTGGAGCTTGTGGTAAAAATATACGTGAGGTCTTTATTCTTGCCCATGTCGTCTTTCTGTAGCAACCTGCATCTTCCTTGACTGGAAACTCCAACTTTTTATGGTTTAATAAAAGTGATGCGGACAGCAACATATTATGAGGAGCCTCCGAATGCGATACAAGCTCAAACAGTTCACATCGCATGGAGTCCTTATGCGATACTTCCAAGTTAGATTCGGAAGCATTGCACAGTGTTTGTAGTTGAGGTGTGAATATCCTTTAACTTTTCTGACACACCTTGTACAAATAGGCTGAAACTGTTTGACTTAATAGCGAAACTATGTGACGAAAATAGCTCTGAGCATTGGCCTTAAAATGAATAGAATTCCCAGAGTGGTTTGATTTAAAAAAAAAAAAAAAAAAAAAAAGACAACTTGCCAACGTGAACTCGTTTGTGGTTACACTGTTGCAGCCTGATCTATTCGTTTATTAGTCATCGATGCTCTTTGTATTATGTTTAAGATTGCATTCTTACAGTGTGGATGTATTATCACTGACTCACGGCTGTGTCACTTGGTATTCAGTGACTCACAAAAGAAGCATTGCCGAGATGAAACCGCAACCAGTCACTGCCCACACCACGTGCATCCTTGCCTCCGTACGGCTTCCCGTCAATGAAGTCATGGCAGTCTTGCCTTCAGATTGTTGTCCCCCCCCCAACCCCCAACACTCTTGAAAAGAAACAAGGAAATAGTAAGCTTGCTCGACCACTGGAGTGTGCCAGAAGAAAGCAGCGGGCCTCCATATGTCAACCAAACATTTTCTCAACATCTGCAGGGGTCTTCTCCAAGGCTGTTTCAGGGTGTATTGAATCATCCAATTGACAGTTGAAATGGTCTATGCTGTATTTCAGTATCATTTCAATTAGGCATGGTCCAGGTGTCAGATTCTGGAAGTATGATAACCAGAGCAATTATCAACTTTTTCTATTTTATTATTTACCCATATAGACAATATTTGTCTTCTTGGTTAGTATGAAAGAAAATCAATGATTTTTTTTCTAAATAAAATCAAAATTACAGTTAATTAAATTACAAATAAAGTACAATTATGAAAGTACCTCTTTTCTGCTTTGTGAAGTAATGTCAGTTTTGCATATTATTTTACATCATCGTCCTCTTGGAAAAATACCCAAAAGTAGCTGACTTTTTGGACAAGTGGAAAAGTCGTAGATCTCACTGGCGTCCTGCACCAAAAATTGGAAGGGGTTGTGTCACTGTGCCTGCGCTGACAACTCAAATAAATAAATAAGTAAATGCAGCTAATACCACTGAAGGAAAGCTTAAGCGGTTTTGAAACCAGGGGCCTCATGTCCAATGGGGCGCATACCGACAAAAACATTCCCGTGCTCACGTTCAGATGTATCGAGAATGAAATAGGAATGTGCGGTCCAACTACATGGGTGGTGTACACACATTTTTATTGCTTTAATTGCAGAGTCGCAGTGGTGATGCCGGGCAATGGCCGACATCCAGGCAGACGTTTGCTATCGCATCCACGAATCTCCCATTGTCATTTCAAATCTGATTAAAAATACCCAAAGTCGGTCAAGAACTGTTAACTCATTCACTCCCAAAGACGTTTTTAAACATCTTTTCAGACTTGGTTCAGAATTGGCTGGTACTGAATGAGTTAATTTCTCCCGCCTTTAAATTGTTTGCCGCAATAACCTCATTACTGCAATCATC